GTGCAGTGAAATCTTACTTTCTGCCGCTCACTTTTTCTGACGGATGCTTTTCTGTATTAAAATATATGTGTGTGTGTGTAATCAGGACGAATTTCACTATTATATTTTTTCTGCCCGTAGGAAAAAAGAACAAATTCTGTTCCATAAGGGGAGCAGTGTGACGTTTATGTTTCTTTACAGCCTCAAACCAGCAGTCAGATGGTCCAAGGCAAACATGAGTCAATTGCATAAAAATGCATATATTTTATTTTTTTCCTAGGACATGGATACGTCTCTCTAAACTAGTTGATGATACCAGAGTCTTCAACTTTACTGAGTTTCCTCCGGTGTACAATATCTCAATTACTTAAAGAGTGTCTGTTTTTTCAAATGTACAGTTTTGTGATAATCACATGGACACTTTCATATTTGGCTGGGGAGCTCATCTGTGTACCCAGTTGACGGAAGGAAAATTAAAGCATCAGGATTCAAAGAAATCCACTTAAGAGAGGTGAAGCTTTTTGGTTAGTCCTTCTGTTCTTCAGGCCATGTCTCCATTGTCAACAATAGCAGATAAGAACGGACAATTCAACAACAGTTGTGGGTGTGTATCAACAGGGAGGAACTCATTCTCTGCTCCTGGAATAGTTTCACGCCAGGACCATTATCTGGTCAGACCTTCATCTTCTATCAAATTCTTAGGTTCACATAAGATTAAAAAAAAATATGCTAAGCAGACGCTCTCTTCTTTAACAAGAACACTGGTCTCTCTCTTGCCAGATTTTTCAAATATAGTAGAGAGATTTGGAAGACCGGAGATAGTTCTGTTGGCTTCAAAAAGCAAACTAAAAAATCTACAGAATTGTATCTCTCAATTTAGCAATAAACCCATGTGTGTTTTTTTTTTTTTCCAAGGCACTGGCGATACCCTATTTGAACCCTTGGATTCCTGCTGTCTTAAGATATTCCATGTAAGACAGTCCTATGGTTGCTAAACATCTGAGGGAACTTTAGGCCTTGGTTTCGTCTCCTCCTTATCTGATTTTTCATTTGGATAAAGTGGTCCTTATTATTCATCCTTCCCTTTTTTTCCTCAAAAGTTTCTTCTACATCTTATATAATTCAGGGAATTGGACTTCCACCATTTTAACAATTTCCTTGAACCGCTGCAGAAAGAAAGTTTCAAGGCCTGCATGTGTAACCGGTACAAGATCAGCCTTTTTTCGTCATTCTGACAGATTGTTTGTCCTTCTTTAAGAATAGAAGAAGGGTCTTATGGCATCTTAACAAGATGGTTTAAGATTTAACTGGTGTGCAGATCTTTTAATGTTCCTCCTCCTCTGCATTTACAGGCACATTCTGCAAGGGCTGTCGCTACTTCAAGGGTTTTCAGGGCTTCCACTACTCCTTCACAGATTTGCAAAGCTGCTGCCTGGTGGTATCGTTATGCTTTCTCTAAACAGTTTTTGGTTGGACTTACAGGCTTCTGTTTATTCTGTCTTTGGGAGGTAAACACAATTACATTGGCTCTCAGGTCCAGGACACTCCTGCCCTTAAGGGATTGCTTGTTTATCCCATGTGTAGTGAACTGCCTGCCTCTAATCGGGAGGGAAAAATTCACATTTTACTTACCGAAAATCTATTTTTTCTAAGGATTAGAGGCAGTGCACGTATTTCCTGCCCTATTTATTAAACATATTTTGCAGTAACTTAGCTTGTGCATTTTCTGGGGTTGTGACTTGGAGCGCTCTGAGTTATACCTTGGGGAGAAGCCTAACCATTTACATTTTAGGTGTCTGCTTGCCTTTCCTGTCCAGACTAGAGTACATCCCATGTGTAGTGCACTGCCTCTAATCCTTAGGAAAGAGAAATTTACGGTGAGTAAAATTAGAATTTTCCTGTCACTACAGAATACAGTGCCTCCCGCCCTCGCCCCCCCTCCTCCTTACCTGAATCCAACACCACCCACACACCTCCACCCGCCGATGGGGGATTCAATGCTTTCCTAGGGGGAAAAATCATGCAGAGCGTGAGGACGTCCAGCGTCAGATACCGGACCAAAGGTCTGTTTCAATTCTGGATGTCCCTCTAGTGGCTGTCTGGTACATAGCCACTAGAGGTGGAGTTAACCCTCAGAGGTAATTATTGCAGTTTTTCAGTTAAGGGACATGGGACATTGCATCCAGAACACTTCAATGAGCTGAAGTGGTCTGCCTACAGTGTCCCTTTAATCTATATTAGAGAAGGACATTAACTATAATTGTGGACCATGTCTTTGTTTTAAGGAGGTTCTCCCCTAACCTATTTTATTATGCTACATAGCAAGACAAGATGGGTGCAAGAGCGTGTCTTGTATTAGTCTAGCCTTGTTCTCTTTATAGGTTTGGTTATTATGACCTTAATTCCTACCTGACACTATAATTCTGAAGGATATTCCCTATAGTCTATATTTGAATCCCAGGAGGTTGCTGACCTAGATTTTATGACAATATCCTATTGATTACTTGTTTGGATGATTTTTTAAGGCTTCTTGTGTTTATGAAGCTCAAATTTTTTTTTTTGGAACTATTAATTGTATTTGAACTCTGTCCCTCCCACTATATATACTGCTTAGGAATTACCCATGAGTAAATGCTTCAATGTACGATCAGGAATATGGAAAATTGTTTCATAGTTATCATAATTTTATTTTCATGACCATTATACATGGCAGCATTACGTTCCCACCCGCCTACTATAGGAGTTGTGAAGCTAGTTACAAAGATTGCATGATGGGGAGGGGGAGGATCTATTTATACCAGTTTCAAAGTTCTATTTCCTGTCCTTTCTGCTGAGAGGGGAGGAGCTAACCCATGAGTAAATGCTGCCATGAATAATTATCAGGAAAAGAAAATTACGGTAAGTAGTAAACAATTTTCAATAATTTTATTCATGTATTAAATTATGCAGTAATTTTTCATTTTATTTCTCTATTTAGTCATTTATTTATTTTTTGCTTTCATTAATTGTTTTTGTATTCCTTTATGTACTCTCAAATGTACAGGTTTCCTGTATTTGAATGCTTTTTTACTTTTATTGATGCGTCTATGATGCTGTTGTACTTAGACAATCCAAATACTGCTGAGCGTACTTTTCACAACATCTGCCTTTATCTATATTATGCTGCTGCCTATTGTAGATTTTCGGGCCTTCTGGATTGTGGTTTTGTTCTGTTATATGAAAGCCACTATGTGGTGATTGCTTTGCTACTGTTTGTACATATATGTGTATCTGTCTTTAAAGGAACACTGTAGTCACCAGAACAACTAAAGCTTATTGCATTTGTTCTGGTGAGGAAAATCATTCCCTTCACTGTCTTTTCAGAGAAAATACTTTAAAGCCTAGTGATCACTCCACTGGCCACTCCTCAGATGGCTACTAGAGGTCCTTCCTGGGGCAGTGCTGCACAGTGAGCAGCACTGACATTCAGTGTTTCCACCCTCTGCATGCAGACAGTGAACTTTCCTCATAGAGATGCATTGATTCTATTTCTCTCTATGAGAAGATGCTGATTGGCCAGGGCTGTGTTTGACTTGTGTTGGCTCCGCCCCTGATTTGACTCCTTGACAGTCTCAGCCAATTTTATGGGGAATCATTGTGATTGACACAGACCACCCCTTCTGATGATGTTAGCAGATAACAGGGGCAGAGCCAACAGCTGCAGACTTGAATACAAGTATGATTTTACTTTAGGGAGGCAAGGGAGGGCCAGTGGGTTTAGATTGTGATTTTAACACTATAGGGTCAGGAATACACGTTTGTGTTCCTTTAAATATAGAATTAAAACAAAAAAACATTCCTCTGTTCAGATATCACTTTTTCTTCTCAGGAATCAAAAAAACTTTCTCATAAGTGAAAATAAGCACAGGCGACCCAGAATTTGAGGAAGAAATGTCAGATTATGAACAGAGCCAGTAAGGAAACTAGTATGGGGAACTGGAATTACACACAGGGAGGCCCACAGTTTAAAAAAAAAATAAGAATTGGGAAAAAGCGTGAGAAAACTGGGACATGTATGAACCAGAAACCTGTAATGCAGGAAATTAGATAAAGGGGAGCTTGGTGGAGCAGTTTTGAGAGAGTATGGCTCTATACTTGAGGACCATGGTAGGCTTGCAGTGCTTAGATTTATTGAAATTGGCACCCATGGTTCTCTTCCTGGACAAATTGGGAACTAGGTGTTGGAGTGTTCCCCTTCATCACCTCCACTCCCTTCCCACCCCCTCCAAGTTTCTTGATATTTGAAATAAGTTACTCTTTTCATCTATCTGAATTAAAGCTGCACTGTCACTATCTCGGGACTTTGCCAAATGTGCAAAATCCAGCAACGGTGACATCGCCGCTGGTAGTCCAGGGCAAATAAGAGTGAGATTACTTACCTGAACCTGTCTCTCACGGCTGCTGTCATCCTGGTCGCATTGCTCCTCTTCAACTCCTGGTGCTTCAGTACCAGGAGCCAACCTCATTGCTGTACATGCGAGAGTACAGCATTGAGGTCTATGGGGGATCCTGCGAAACCAAGTCAAAAAAGGTTAAGCAGAGGAGAATAAAGTCCCTACTTTGTCTCTGTATTTCTGTTGACTGGATTGGAACTTCAGTGACATTCCAACACAGTCTTAATGAACATTTCATAGAGATTCTATGTTTATGAAATGCTTATTTTTAATTGGGGTGCTGTACCACTTTAATGACTTGCATCCTTACAAACACAATCTAGAAGACAGACAGGCAAGGGACCAAAAATAATTGCACAATTGACTCGCAAGCTGTTAGCTGTTTCATGGATAGGAGTAGGCTATTTCTTCATTAATTAAGCAGGTATGGTCTGGATTTGATTCCAGGTGTGGCATTCGCATTTGGAAGCTGTCGCTGTGAACCCACAACATGCTGTGAAAGCAGCTCTCAATGCAAGTGATACAGGCCATCCTTGGGACTCGCCACGGACTCATCATTGAGTAAACTTTGACCCTGTACCTCACAGTCAGCAGACACATTCCAGCCAATCAGCAGCAGACCCTCCCTCTCAGACCCTCCCACCTCCTGGACAGCATCCATTGTGAAGCTGCATTCTTAGTGAGCTGTCCAGGAGGTGGGAGGGTCTGGGAGGGAGGGTCTGCTGCTGATTGGCTGGAATGTGTCTGCTGACTGTGAGGTACAGGGTCAAAGTTTACTCAATGATGAGTCCGTGGCGAACCGTTCGCGAACCGTTCTGCGAACAGTTAGGGACATCACTAGTGATGAATGATCGTATGATCCTTTCAATGATAAAAAAAAACCAAAAACCTTCACAACATTCAGCCAAGTGAAGAATACTCTCCAGGAGGTTATGCACATCATTATCTAAGTCTACCATAAAGAGAAGACTTCACGAGAGCAAATACAGAGCGTGAAAAATACCAGATTAGACTTTCCCAAAAAACATTTTTAAAAAAAAGCCAGCCCAGTTATGGAACAGCATTCTTTGGACAGATGAAACTGTGATCAACCTTAACCAGGAAGAAAAAAATATGAAGAAGGCTTGGAACGACTCATGATTCAAAGCATACCATATCATCTGTAAAACGCAGAGGAGGCAGATGATGTGGTATGCTTTGCATGCATGGCATCCAATGGCACTGGATCACTAGTATTTATCAATCATGTGACAGAAGACAGAAGCAGCCGGATGTATTCTGAAGTGTGTAAAGATATAAGTGTCTGCTCGGATTCAGACAAATTCAGAGAAGTTGAATGGACAGCGCTTCACTTGATTGAGGTGTCATCATGATCACATGACTCAGATCGGCTGAATTGGTTTCAGGGCGACTGCCTGACATGTCAGAAGGGATCTATATGCCAAAAGTCTAAATAAAGGAAGGATATTTTTGTAAAAATTTTTTCATAAAATACATTGTTTACGCGGAGTTTCAGATTTCAAGTAAATCACTTTAACATCCTGTGTGAAACTTATGTTTGTGACACTTCCTTTTTTAAATTTAGGTGGAAAATACTGGACAAAAAGTTAAAGCATTCAAAATAACTTTAGTGTCTTGTTCAAAAAACAAACATTTTTAGAATACAGATAAAATGGTGGAAACATGTGTGCCTAACCACGTTAAAGCCTTCCTGTAGTAGGATGGCATAGCACGGGCTTACTTTAAGAAAAGGGTTAAACATCCAAAAATGTTAATTTAGAAACCTTATCTAACAATATCATTATATGGAGGCCTATGTTATCTATCAAGAACACTCATTTCATTTGCTGTGATAAAAAGCTTGTACTGAAAAAATTTACTTTAAGATCAACACCCTCCTTCCTTATTTATTTATTTTTAGAATATTTAGGCAGTGAATACTCTTAGATAGCTGAAAGTAATACAAAATTGCTCAAGAATATTGCAAAATGGTAGTCTTCATGAGGCATTTCGATATCCCTCTCAGTTGCCTCAGTTACCTATATGACAGAACCTGATGTCCTTGGGTCTGTTGGAAGTCACCGCTTCCAGTGATAAATTCCAAAGTTAACCGTTTTCCACAGAGTCTTGCATTACCAGTGTTAAATATAAACTAGGGTAAAAATAATGTGTTGTGATTTATGATTGTTAGACTTCCTTTTATTTATTCTGTGTGAACAATACTGGACTGAAAGTTAAAGCTTTCAAAATAACTTGTGTTTCTTGTCCAAAAAAATAAACCATTATTTTTAGAACACAGACACAATGGTCGAAAACTCTGTGCCTCTAATTTCTCCTCCTGTCACTCTAACCAGACATGAGTATAATAGATATTTTATGATAGAACAGTTTGGAAAGCCATGGCTAGAAAACGATGCTCTAATAAGTCTTTGCCAGATTTTTTATAATTAAGATTTCAAAAAACAACAACATTGGCCTCAATTCCAATGAGTCTGCAAAATGCTGGCTGCTCAGTGTAATTACATACCCAGACAGCATGTAGGTGATTCAATTTAAAGCATGGGGAAAGTTCACAAGAGAAGTGAGACTTCCCAGTGAGAGCGTTCTGATTGGCTGGCAGAGCGTTCTGACTAAAATTGCATAGTGTGGGAAAGTGTGCTTGGAGTCCGCGAAGGATTGTTATTTTGATGCTGCATTCATTTTTATACGTCAATAAATTATTTTATTGCGATCTTATCTTTTTTATTTTCAAAGTTGCAACATGTCTCAATTTAACTTTTTTTGGCCTTCGATGGGGCTGATGAGAATAAGATTTAGGAAGAAAGAAACTTCTAATGGTAAGTATGAAAATGTTTATTTTCCAAACGACAGTCATAACAATTGGGACGGCCATTTCTCACAGGACAGGTAGCATTGAAAATGTTAAAAAACAAAAATGCATCCCCACCGCCAGTCTCCTTCCCTCCTAGCCTTATAAAGGGCAACTCACCCCCAGTATTTGCCTGTCCTCAAGAGTGACAGATCAGGTAGCAGAGCTCTGCCTATCCTTGGCAGAATTTATGAAGCTATTCGCCTTTTTTGTGTTTTGGATATTTATACACAGACACTAATTGCAATTTACAAATCCACAGGTGTGGGAAATTAACCTTTTATTGACATTTTAACCGGTGTGTGTGTTACCTTGTGTGTCTGTAACAAGGCCAAACATTCTAGAGTATGTAAACTATTGATCAGGGCCATTTGGGTGATTTCTGTTATCACTATGATTTAAAAAGGAGACAAACCACTATATGATTATAAATGGATTCATATGATCACTATTCTTCAACAAAAAATGTTTGTTTGTTTTTTGCATGATCAGTCATATTTTCAAAATCAATGCTGAAATTTCACAATTTCGGCCAGGGTATGCAAACTTTTGATTCATCACCTCTACCACCAAATGCATGTGTAAGTTATTTATCTTCTGTTTTGGTGCAGATTACACAACTGTACTGCTTAACTTCCTGTTTGTGTGTGCAATGTTCAGGCCCACCTTGGTACAGTCTAACTTCCTGTTTGTGTGTGCAATGTTCAGGCCCACCTAGGTACAGTCTAACTTCCTGTTTGTGTGTGCAATGTTCAGGCCCACCTAGGTACAGTCTAACGTCCTGTTTGTGTGTGCAATGTTCAGGCCCACCTAGGTACAGTCTAACTTCCTGTTTGTGTGTGCAATGTTCAGGCCCACCTAGGTACAGTCTAACTTCCTGTTTGTGTGTGCAATGTTCAGGCCCACCTAGGTACAGTCTAACTTCCTGTTTGTGTGTGCAATTTTCAGGCCCCTCTATGTACAGCCCAACTGCCTGTTTGTGGGCAGTGTTCGGACCACCTGTGTGTTTTTTTCTTTCTTGCCTTTAGACACACTCTAAGACAGGGGTTCCCAAGTCCTCAAGTACCCCAAACAGTCCAGGATTTAGGGATTACCCTGTTGTATCTAAGGCATTTATTTTTTGTATTTTTTTTAATACACCTTAGAAACCACTGGGTAATCCCAAAATTCTGGACTGGTAGGGGCTACTTGAGGACTGTGTTGGGATCCACTGCTCTAAGATATTGTACACTTGTGTAACGGATCCCCTATAGTTCGGCTGAGTATATCCGTTATGAAGCTCCCAAATCCCAATAGTGATTATAGCTCTCAAGTCGCGAAATATCAGCCTAGACTTGATGGAGGGGAAAACAAATCTGTTTAATCAGGGCTCAATTACCCACTTTTATACAGTACAGAGACACAGCAAACATGCCCATGACACTCCCATAAACACACCCATAAAATGTCCCTAAATTGCAGTGTCACCATGACTAGGCAAAAAATACAAAATATCAAAAACACATAAAAATATCCAAATAGGAACCCCATAAATATTACATCCATGGATAGCTTGGCTCTGAGCACCCAAGTTGTCCAAATAGCGCTCAGATCCCATGGTGCATACGAACAAACCTACCCAACAGCGCTCTTCTGACATGTGTGGATAAGGAGCAGGCTAGTCCAAATAGCGCTCAGATCCCATGGTGCATATGAACAAACCTACCGAACAGCGCTCTCCTGACATGTGTGGATAAGGAGCAGGCTAGTCAAAGTTCAGCGGTGTTCGGGAGTAACAGTGTCCGATTGTAGTTCCATGAACTTGACGACCGAACACCGCTGCCTGCATTCTTGCGAACAAGATGGCCGCCATCTCAGTTCCCACGTGTTTGTGCATACAATCGGCGGCAACTCAGCCGAACAATTAGAACCCTCGATGATTAAGGTGTCAGGAGAGGTCAATAGGAGTTAACAAGCACAGAGGTGGTCCGCAGTTCGTGAGTCTGTTCGGTTCCTGAACAGTATAAATAAACCCCACAAACCAAGTCTTTTTACAGGTCCTGTCCATGGCCCATAGTCCTGGTGCGGGAGGCTAGCTAGCAGGCTTCTCCAGGCGCTCGTTGCGAAGGCAAGTTCGTCAAAACTTGTTTCCGTTAAAGCACCGGTGAGACCTGTAAAGGTATATACATACTGGGTGTATGTGAAATTTTCAGTCAGGGATATTTCTCCCAAATATTCCATTAACAATTATTTATATATGGCCAACATATTCTGTGACTCTGTACAGTAGGTAAGCCAACAGAAACAATCCTACAAAACCTGTTTTGACATACAGGAACAGTAGCTGAAGAGATTTTTAGATTTTTCCTTGGACAAAGTGATATCCTCTACAGTTTTACCGCTATCATGGTTGTTTTAACTCTGTATGCTGCCAATCTAAATTACTTGTGGCGTTTTCTTTCAACCTGAGGTTATCCTCAGTTGTGTCTGATTATTATGAGATCTCCTGCTATCTGTGCAGGAAAGGGTTTAATGAGGTAAAATATTTTACCCTTGTGATTATAACTCCTATAACATGTGAGATGCAGCATCAAGACAAGAGTTGTTAGGTTGAGAATTTGCCTTCATGTAAATCATCTAAATTTTGTATCTAGTTTTTTTTCTACTAATGAAAAGTTTATCTAAAATTGAATTCCAGGGCTTTTATGGATGAATGTATTTATTTTTCTCCGCTGGCCTGGTTTTAGAAGGGTTAAATTGTTATCTACTAAGCATTTGAGTTACACCTAGATTGTATTGATTCCCTATTGCACATTCCTAGTATGTTTGATTCAGGTCAGGAGAAAAGCAAGGGTTCTGGTGTTAGGTTGTCTTAGAGTCTATCTCTTTCTTTTCTACAGT